AAAAAGAAAAAATTGTGGCGAAGCGATTTGCTCACGCTATATCAGCGTACACTATCGGGATTTTGAGTACGCTTACGTATACTGAATTTGATTACGCGGCTCTGCCAGCTTTGTTCTAATGGTTGTTTTGGAATTTTGGCCACTTGTGGCCTTTTGCGATTTTGGTCACTAGTGGCCGTTGCGGCATTCTGGTCACTACTAAAGTACTAACCGTTTTAAAATTCTGTCCGTCAGTGGCCGTTTTGATATTTTGACCGTCAGTGGCCGTTTTGCAATATTGGCCACTAATAGCAGTTTAAGCATTTTTTTTTCTTTTTTATACTAGAGGCTGTTTTAGCATTTTGGCCGGTTACAGCCGTTTTGGCATTTTGGTTACTAGTGGCTGTTTTTATATTTTGGCAACTAGCGGCCGTTTTGCGATTTTCGTCACAATTAGCATTTTTAGCAATTTTGCCACTAGAGGCAGTTTTGGCAATTGGCCCACTGGTGGCCGTTTTCGCATTTTAGCCATTAGTGGCCGTTTTGGCATTATGCCCACTAGCGGCCATTTTGGAATTTTGGCCAATAGAGGCTGTTTTGGAATTTTTTCCATTAGTGGCCCTTGTGGCATTTTAACCACTAGTGGCTGTTTTAGCTTTCTTGCCAGTAGTGGCAGTATTGGCATTTTGGCCACTAGTGACCCTTTTGATATTTTAGCCACTTGTGGCCGTTTTGGCATTTTGACCATTAGTGGCCGTTTTGGCATTTTGGCCATTTGTGGCAGTTTAGGTGTTCTGGCCACTAGTGGCCGTTTGGGCTTTATGGCCATTAGGACCGTTTTGGCATTTTGGCCACTAGTGGCCGTTTTGTGACTTTGGCCACTTGTGGCGTTTTGACTTTTTGGCCACTTGTGGCCAATTTGGTATTTTGGCCATTGGTGGCTATTTTCTGCATTTTGGCCACTAGTGGCCGTATTGCGAATTTGGCCAATACTGGCCGTTTCGGCAGTTTGGCCACTGGTGGCTACTTTGGCATTTTGGCCACTAGTGGCCGTTTTGGAATTTTGGCCACTAGTAACAGTGTTAGCATTTTTTCCACAAGTGGCTGTTTTGGCATTCTGGCCACTTGGTGCCATTTTGCCAGTTTTGCCACTAGTGGCCGTGTTGGAATTTTCTCCATTAGTAGCCGTTTTGATATTTTGGCAACTATATACTGGACCTTTTACAATTTTGGCCACTAATGGCAGTTTAAACATTTTTAGAACTAGTGGCCGTTTAGGCAATTTGGCTACTACTTGGCAGTTTTGTCAATTCGGTTACTAGTGGCCGTTTTAACATTTTGGGCATGAGTGGCTGTTTTGGTAGTTTGGCCACTCGTGGTTATTTTGGCCTTCTTGGCCACCGGTGGCCGTTTTAGTGGTGGGGTGGGGGAATTGGGAAGATCAACCTGGATTCATCAGTTTTTTTTTATCCACTATGAAAAACACCCAATTCTTCATCTTTCCACCATAATTTAAAATATTGAGGAAGAAAGTGTGAACATCTCATTATTCCTAACCCTTGACCCTTTGAAATTCTAATCTTTAAAGGGACTGTCATCATTACGTAACGTAGTTTGATATAAGCCCCCGCCCCCTCCCCCACTTAATCCCCTCCCACAGCGCTGGCCCTCCTCAAAAAACAGAGCTCATTGTATTATTGTAAGCCTTACAAAATGATTGAATAGCCAGTTTTAGCCAATGTTCTCTGCAGAAGAAAGCAGCAAAAAGAATGTTCGTGACTGTTTTTTTAAACATGACTAATCTTTCGTGATGCGAAAGTTTACTAAGATGACTAGCATAATTGACAAGGAAAATATTTTGCAGAACGTATTACGTTGTGAAACAGGACGGAAACGTTATCTAAGGTTTTAAGTCCCGGCGGATTGCAACATATGTAGTAATGAGCACCAGATATTATCTAATCTGCTTATTATTCTTGCATTCACCAGTGTTGAAAATAAGCTCGTTTTGTGTGCTTTTCATCTGCTTGTTTTTTTATGCCTGTCCTCAGTGAAAACATTGCCCTTTCACCAAACCACTTAGCTTTAACGTCTTGAAAGGAGCATGACTTGTTATCTAGCAGTTATAAAAGTCTTTAAGCTGATTGTTATTTTTAAGTGTCTTTAGATCTTGCACGCTCCACTGGCTAGCTACAATCCGGAACGGAACCAAGGAGATGGGCTGTTGGACTCGCCGGCCTTATCTCAAATATTCGACTTTGAAAGTTTCGTTAATCTCGCAGAAATTTTTAACGGAAAAGCATTTCCGACAATCGAGGTCTGAACAAGATTTGAACATCTTTCTTCTTTCGGTGTCTTTCACTGCGATAGCCATCTTTGTGATGAAATAACTAAACCAAAACAAATTCACCCAACCGAATAAAAAAGATTCTACTTCCCACCCACCCCTGGTGTGTAGAGTCCTTTCTTAAAAAAAACTGTGTTCGATATTGCGGAGAAAAGTCTATATGGAAGCCTTTGGTCGTAAGAAAAAAACTTTTGCAAGGTAAAGAAAGCTACTGCTTTGGCATTTAGTTGCTAATAGGAGATTAATCGCAACAAAATCATTAACAGCTTTAGACTTCTGTAGTTGGTCAAAGTTTGGGGAGGCTCCCCAGGGTATGTGTGCAAAACATCCGCGAAATGTCTAACCTAACTTGATTACCAAAGCTCAAACTTTGATAGGGATGTTCTTCTGTTCAATGGAAAATCTACCCAGACACCTTTGAGATGTCTCCTTTTAGGATACATGGCATCGTTGAAGTACAGAGTTCGGTGGACAATGGAAGCTTGGAATGTTTTTCACCTAGATTTGTAGTATAGTGGAACACATGAGCGTTCTTCAGTAACGCGATGTCTGATTTTCAGCCGGTCGTCTGTTCATTGATAAAAGATTCCATTGCTATGCACGTTTATGTGTGAATGTTAGCAGTAGCGGTACAATGTATTGTTTGCCAGAAAAATAGCTTTCTCGAAAATGGAAGGATTTTGGGAAGATTTTAAGCAGGAATGATAGGCAACGTGACAGCAATGTCCTGAAGAAAAATACATTCCGCGCATAGTACAACTTCCTGACTCGTCGAACGGCGTCCGGGGTCATGTAGGAAGGAAAAATTTACTGAAGCGTTGCTCTGATTGGTGGAGCATGTAATTAGGTGTGGTAATTTTAAAAAGCTTACGATGATGTTTGGAATTCAACGCTAAAAGCGAAAAGAGAGGTCATTAAACCGTGACAAAACAAAGCTATAAAGTTCATTATTCTCTCGAGGGACAATGGACTTAATGAGTCGTGCACCAATCAGGGAGCTTTGACGTCTCCAAACAGGATACCTACGCGTCATTCATTGCTGGGAGTTGGCCTGTAGCTTGACAACTTATAATCTGGTGACTCAACGATTAGTCCGGCTTTGAGTGAGCGGCTCGAAATTGTTGCGGGCGCACGACTCTGGCTGAGAAATAGTCT